ATCACCTCAGATATTCTTTGTGTTAGGAACTTTCCAATTCCACACTTTTAGTTATTTTAAAGTACCCCCTAATTTATTGTTGATTACAGTCACTTTGTTATGCTATCAAATATTGTTCATTCTATCTCTCTAACTAGAATATGTTTTAGTTGAAGCTTTTTACTGAACTTTTCCAGGCAGAGAAACTAGTAGCATTACCAAGAACTAAGAAATGGCATATGAAGAGGGAGGAGGCTTCAACCATAAATACAAAGAAGTCCTGGTGTTACTTAGAAGAGTTACCATTACATTGTGCTGGTGCTAGTTATTATCTAAATGGTTTTTGTGTAGCTTGTCTCAGATTTTTCTAACATTTTTCTTGTTACTATGGTAATTTAATATATTTTTGAGAAGAAATGGAGAAACTCAAGCCTATTCACTTGGCTCATTGGGTCAAATTTGATACTGGTGTGTGCTGGTAATTTTTAAATATTTTGTAATAAAAATCAGGAGATGTGACTTATGTTTGCACCCTGGCATTTGTTCTCACAAAAAATGCAGAATTGGCTTTGGATTACATAGGAATGCTCTTTTTAGAATTGCTAGCTCCCTCATGCTGGGAATTAGAAAGTGTTCTCAATACTCTTTAAACTGTGTTTTCTAGTCCTATGACTTCATTGAGTTCGATTTCTCTCTCCATCATGCCTGGACTACCCACTCTACCTTGGGTGTAGGCAATGATTAATTGGGTCTTATTAAGCCTTGGAATTCTTCGACACTTTAACAAAAAGCAATAGCAAGCTATAATTCTAACAAATGACTATGATAGAATTTGAGAGAAAGCAATGCTCTTTTCATGCCAGACTTTCTAGCTGATTTTTCTTCTCTTTGTTCTAGTACCAGTAGGTGGTTTAGGATTTAGGATTGCCTCAGTGTGACATTATCATATAATGAGTGCTTGTTTTTCTATATCTTTAGAGCATGGTTCCACTGTTTATCAGGTTAGTGTTTTCTCATCAGACAAAGCCACTTACATTTAACAAATATGGAGCTATATCATCTGCCAGGCACTGAGATTAAAACAATAAAGAGTGATATTAATGCACTGAATCTAGGTTGTACTTAAAAGAATAAAATGTGAACATTCTACCCAGTGTAACAAAAATGAACAGAGATCCTAGGAATGGAGGTTATCACGAGCAGTATTTGAAGCTGAGATCCAATCAACCTCTTCCTTAGTGACAGACTATCCACAGTCTCAGCCAATGCTCAAGAACAATTCTGCTGAAAAACTCTGTAAATTTTCCATAGGAACAACTTTCTCATCACCATCTCTTTTCCAGAGGTTAACTCAGAATATTTAAAGACTCAGGATATGAGAAAGTGCTATAATATATGGCAATATGAAAATTTGGAAAAAAGTGTGTTTAATTCTGTGAGAGTTGGAGATTAAATTATTAATTTTAGCAGTAGGAGTAAAACTTCTCAATTTACTTGGTGGTCCTTGGAAGCCCAAAGTCATTTCGTGGCTTCAGAGGCAGGAAGAGCTTCCTGCAGTGCTACGTGGCCAGCATCTTCACAACCATGGGTGATGGTGTCATCTAAAAGAAAGGCAAAATCTGTATTACTGGGAAGTAGAAAACCTCTCTGCAGAAGCAAGAGCTGTTAGGTGCAGTCTTTGTGTAGCTGGGAAAATATAATAGAGCAAGGAATGATTAGCACATAACTAAAGAGCATGCTTAGTTACTGTTTTGATCTAAAGCACTTATCACATTTAAAAGGATAAATGAATTTGAAGATACCTCAAAGAGCTAAAAATAGAAATACCATTCGATCCAGCAATAGCACTATTAGGCATCTACCCAGAAGAGCAAAAACATTCTATGAAAAAGACATCGGCACCCGAATGTTTATGGCAGCACAATTCACTATTGCAAGGATGTGGAAACAACCCAAGTGCCTGTCAATTCATGAGTGGATTATTAAAATTTGGTATATGTATACAATGGAATATTACTCAATCATAAGAAACGACAGTGATCTAG